ACGTAGCATAAGAAACTGGAATTAGACTACTGGTTAACATGGATTAAAGTCAGTATAGGAAGTAGAGGCCAGACATGGTAGCTCACACTTGTAATGTCAGATCTCAGAGAGCAAACTGGGAGGTTGATCAAGGTTACATAGCAGGCCTTGGTGCACGCCTTTAATCCCAGCCCTCTGGAGGCAGAGGCAGGCAGATCTCTGTGAATTCGAGGTCAGCCTGGTCTACAGAGCGAGTGCCAGACTCCAAAGCTACACAGAGAAACCCTGTCTCAACCCCCCCCCCCAAAAGGCCCTGCCAAAACAATTAATCAAACTAATCAATTAATTAATCAAATGTGAAAGAGAGTCTAAAGAGATGGCTCAATAGGTGAAAGAGTATTCTTCTCTTACAGAGAAACAGGGTTCAATTCTTAGCACCTTTGTTAGGTAGCTCACAACTGCCCATAATGCCAGTTCCAGGGGATCTGACGTCCTCCTGTGGCCTCCTCAGGTACCTTGATTCTTTATGTATACACCGAATCAAGTGTATATACATAGTTAGAATGCAATAAATCCCCAAAACTTAAGAAGAAACTAAAAACAAACTTTTAAAAGGATTTATTATAACATATCATCCTGATGTTAGGAAAAGACTTTTTAAAACAAGAACTAAAGAGGGGGAAGGCATGAAGAAAATATTAATAAAATCATCAATGTTAAAATTAAGAACTTTGTTCAAGGGCTGGCAAGATGGCTCAGTGAGTAAAGGTACTTGCTGCCAAGCCTACCAACCTAAACCCGTGTGGGTCCTTGGAACACACACAGTGGAAGGGGAAAGCAACTCCCACAAGTTGTTTGCTGAGCCCTACATACTCACTATGGCATGAGTGTTTACACGTGCAAGCACACATACTAAACAAACCAATCAATTACAATGTAATTTAGATTTTCTTAAAAGAAATTTGTTAAAAAAAGATGACATCAAGATAGGAAGACTAAAATCCTGTATTGGGAGAAGCCACTTGTAATACACATAATTGATAAACTACCTATTACTATCCAGCATATGTGATGAATATTCTTATCAACCAATCAAGACACAGATAGAGGAAGACAGAGAAACCAACAAGAAGTGAACAAATGTCAGGGAAAAACATGAATAACAAATAATCCAGAAAAAAAAAAAAAGGTCCAACCTTAACAGTATTAGGGAGTAAAAATTTAGGTGGGAATAAACATTTAGATGGCAACACGATTCTCCTTTACAGACTTGACTGGTGAATGAAGAGTTCTACACAGTGACATGAAGTTGGGTCAGAAGCCTGCAAGATGCTGTGATACAGTGCTGGCATACTGACTGTCATAACTCCTCTGGCAAACAATCGACACCATCTGTGAAGTAGAAAATCCATGTATTCTTTGGGACAGAACAAATATGCACAAGTATTCTAGAAAAATTAGAGTATAGTTGTGCACCCCTGTATTTACAGCACTTGAGGGTGGTGTTGGTGGGGGTGAAGGCAAGAGGATCAGAAGTTCAAGGCCATCCTCAGCTACATGAAACCTTGTCTCAAGAAACAAAAATAATCAAAAGACAACCTTAAATACAACCCTTAAATACAAACACTACTTCTGCTCAAATTAGCATAAACAAGGCAATAGATATAACTGAGGGGTAGATCCCTTACCTGGCACATGTGAGCCTCGGAGCTGGATTACAGCTCATCACCATAAGAAAAACAACAATAACAACAACACAAAAGTATAACAGAAGCAAAACCCTAATGAAACATCTGAGATGATGATTAACAGGAAATGGATGAGCCTTAGAAATCATTATATCAGGAGAGAAAACAAGCCACAGAAGACTGAATCCAATATAATACTATTTTTTACAAAGCTCAAAGGTAAGTCTGGCAAGATGACTAACCTGGTGATAACCTGTATTCGGTGTGGAGGACCCAGACGGTAGAAGGAGAGAACCAACTCCTACAAGTTGTCCTCTGACCTCATATTTGAGCTGCTGTACTCATCTCCTACCCCAAATGAATAAATGCAATTTTTAAAAATTATTTTTAGAAGATCAAAAGTAGGCAAAAATAAGATAGTTAAAAGAATTGTTAAGAATACAAACAAGCCGGGTGGTGGTGGCACACACCTTTAGTCCCAGCACTTGGGAGGCAGAGGCAGGCGGATCTCTGTGAGTTCAAGACCAGCCTGATCTACAGGAGCGAGTTCCAGGACAGCCTCCAAAGCCACAGAGAAACCCAGCCTCTCAAACACGCACACACCCACACACACACACACACACACACACACACACACACACACACACCCTACCAAAAAAAAAGATTACAAACAAAATGGGAAACTATTTTTCTAAAGGGGAAAGGTGGTAAGGACTGCAAACTAAGATAAAGCTCAGGCAGAAGCCCCTTTGGTGGCGGGCAGGCTGGCAGGAAGGCACACACAACAGCAGAGCAGTGTCGACTGTGCTGTAGCCCTTGCATGGGCTACTGGGGCTGTGTGTTACATTTCTTAAGCTGGCCCAGTGTTCTAGGTGTGATGACACTGACATTTAGTGCTGGATAAATATTTTCCATGGGAGCTGTCTTTTGCAATACAGGATGTTAAGCAGCATCCCTACCCTACCACCAGCTGTGACAACAAAGATGTCTCCAGACATTACCAAATGTCCCCTGGGGGGTAAAATTGCTCCAATTGAGAATCACTGATCTAACTATATAAATTACATATATATATATATATATATATATTTGTTTTAAATATTCTGTAATAAAGTTTAAAATTGATGGGTAGAAGCTCCACTCCACCTGTGAAGCACAAGCAGGAGGCATCATTAAGAGCAGAGCGTACCTGAGCCTGCTGAAGGCCTTTGAAGCTGAGCCTGCAGAGCAGTGTAGGCTGACAGCCCCAGAGTAGCTGAGTAGCAGGTGACAGCTCTAGAAATGGCCCAGTATCGGGAGCCCATAACTGGTTGCACTGTGGGAGGGGAGATGTCATCATTCCCTAATTCTTTGAGAAATCTGAAAGTTTAACCCTGATTAAAAATTATCTGCTTAATTAAAATAAAATCTATTATTGTTCAGATACAGGACCCAGAGGATCTGAACCGGAGCTGAAAGCCTCCTCTCTGTGGATTAGCTTTCCTAGTTCCAGAAGGTGCTGTATAAGCTTCCAAGGGAAGGAAGTAACCCGCAGTCCTCCCCGGCTGTGATGCTGGTGGCCATAGCAATGACCAGCAGGACAAGCTATCCCTAAGAGTGCAGTAACAGCATGCATTTCTTAGCAGTAACCAACAGCTCTCTAATTGGACTTAAGACCTGCTGAACAGGAGGGAAATCATGCCCGGCACTGGAAACCTAGGCAACTACCAATGCTAGTGAGGTCATGGGTCTTAGAGGAGAGCTTACATCCTTATTTCATTAAACCAGCATAATTCTTAACTGCATTCCAAACACTTATCCTTATATTCATAAATAATCATAGCTCTCACCCCTCATCAAAGGAGGTTCTCTTTGCAAAAGACAGAAACCATTACAGCAACCACAACTGTAAACATGCAGAGAATATCTGGTCAGGGCACCTAGCCTCAGTGGATACACCTACAACACAACTCCTACACCTAAAGCTCAGGACACATGGAGAAAGAGGGAGCAGAAAGACTGTAAGAGCTAGAGAACCAGGAATTCTGCTATGAGACTGCCTCCTAGAAATGACAGGGAAGCTACACCTCATGACACTTCAATAATATGGCTGCCTAAACAAGACCTGACCTAGAATAACACCAACAGAATGCTAACATGGAAGGGGCAAATCTCATAGGGCCCCACTCCTAGACAAAGAACTACAATGAACTACAGGCAACCAAGGTATGCCGAGAACTAGAAAATTAGTCTTCCCCTGGGATTAGCTCCCTAATTGGTTATCCGGTACCAAGTGGTCAGCCCTGAAATCATATACACACAAGTAACACTAAATAGACTCAGAAGATAGTGCTTATATACTTGGGATCTATCTATCTATCTATCTATCTATCTATCTATCTATCTATCTATCTATCATCTATCTGCATGTTCTTACATATATTAAAGGATAAAAGTCCATGCATTTGTGAGTGAGGAGAAAGACATGAAAGATGTTGGAATGAGAAAAAGGAAGGGGGAAAGGAAGTAATTATATTTAAGAATTTTTAAAAATTTTCTGTTACCAGAATAAAAATAAAAATGTTATCTTGTCACATTCAAATCAAATAACAGCTGGACATTAAAAATAGCATTTTGAAGAAAAACCACTATTACTGATTTTAAAAAATAGAGCCCATGTTTATATAAAGCCTATTTTCTAAGGCCTTGAAAAAGGTCCATACATTTTATTACTGTTGAGAAGCTGGCTAGGCCTGTGAAGTCATCACATGTGTAACTGTGGTCCCCACACCACCGGGATAGCTCTAGCAGTAAGAGCAAAACAGCCGGGGCGGAGAGGACTTTGCAGAGGGCTCGTGGATAAAGGAGCCTGTTCCTAAGCCTGACAACTCCAGTTTGATTCCTCAGAACCCACATAGTGAAAGAGAACTGACTTACAATGTTGTCCTCCGATCTCCACACACCAATCCCCCAATTCATAAGTAAAATATAAGACCCACATAATGAGTCATTCCTGCTCTAAGATGACAAATATCTGAGAGTGCCCACTCACCACTGTATCCTAGTAATCCTTAAGCCTCCAGTTCTCAGGCTTGAATTGGTCCCATTCATCCTGTGATAGGGAGAGTGTATTACCCTTGTTTTAATATTAATTTTATTATGTGTGTATCTGTCTATCTGACTGCTTGCCTGTCTTCTTACCTGTCAAGTGAGACAGGTACTACAAAGCACCTCATGTTTCAATGTTTTAATACACAAATAACGATTATCCTTGTTAGAGTAATTGTCATAACTGAACACAGATGGTAAGGCAATCATCATGGGTATCTTTGTTTTGTTGGCATTAGTTCTTACCATATGTCTAGCTCAGAGGAGTACTCAGTGGCTCCCAGCAAGGCGTCAGGTGGCCGGTACCACAGTGTCACCACTTCTGAAGAGTACGTCTGGCTGGGAATGGACTTGGCTCGAGCAAGACCTGTCCAAAGAGGATAAGATAGCACTCATTACCCTGGGTCTTTTGGGGAGGCATGGTGACACACTGTATGGGGGAAAGCAAATGGCAGAGTAAACAACATTAAGGATAACATGCCACTGTGGATGCTCTCATCAGAAGCACTCAGCTATCTTGAGGTTTGCGTATATTGCACCAAGAAGATCTCTTAATTTGACCTGCGCTGTAACTAGACCAGGCAGCCAAGTGTGGTCAAGTGACTGAATTCTTGCTTACTTGGTATGAATAGAGGTGATGTTGAACTTCCAGGTCATGCCCTTAGTGGATGGGTTGTAGCTTCAGCTTCCCTCTGAGCTTGTAGTGACAACTACACCGAAGTATGCCACTGGGCAATGTCTGAAGGATGGTGGAGCCACATGACAGATGAAGACTGGATAAAGATGGTGGGCTACCATGACAACTCTGACTGCTCTGGTGAGTAAAGATTGTTTCTAGAACACCCTACCACTGTACTGTGGGTCTCTACAGCAGCAATAAAATAACTTGGTTCAAGATGAATATATCTCTTTTACATTTCTGTAGGACCTCCCTACCAGTGTAGTAGAAAAAGATTGTTGGTCCAAATTAGTTAATGTGGTAGACTCTGAGGTCATTTCCTCTCAAGTGCTCCTCTATAAAACAAGAGTACTATCGTGAGTCAGTAGCCCATCTTACAGAACAGCTGCACCCACAGTTGAGAAAAACCTTAACAAGAGGGGTTGTATTGTAGAGAGTTGGTGAATGGCTATCTGCTAAATGCACAAATATTGGGATGAGAGCCATCACCACAAAGCAATTTGATGCCATTTGACATCCTCTAACAAAGAAAATTGGCTTCTTATCTCACAAGAACCAGTGTGTCAGAGCTCGGGAGGTAGCCCAGTGGTAGAGTAATTTCCCAGCATGCACAAGGCCCTAGGTTCAATCTCCACTATCTAAAACAGAGAATAAAAAGATCAAACCAAACAACAATAAAATATTAGAACCAGTGTGTCATCCCAGTGTGGTAATGAATACTTGTAATTCCTGCCCTTGGGAGAGACAGCTAGGAGGATTGCTGCCAGTTCAAGGCCAGCCTGTCTACACAGTGGGTTCTAGGTCAACCAGGGCTACATGGAGAAACCCTGTCTCAAAAAAATTTCACTGAACATTTAGTACACACTAGGAATATATTGATAAGCAAAAACTCTCAACTACTTTCTAGTAAAGGAGAATAAAATCTAAAATCACATACAATTACATATGTGTGTATGTTTTGCTAAAAAGGGAAAGATACAGTTATAGGTGAAGTCTATTTCCTTTGCTAGGAACATAGTCAAGGTGATGTTGACATTTAAGGTTGCAGAACCAAGTATAATTTCTATTTATGTCAGAGTCCACGCTGCATTCTAGGGTCAGCTTCTCTATTCTTCCATCCTAGGATAGCCTTGATCTATTCTGACACAGTTGTCATTATCCACTTAGATATAGGGACATCTCCTAAGTACAGTCTTCTCTACAGACGTCACTACCTCAAAAGTGACAGTGGGACAATATGAAGGCCTATTTTAGGCTTCTGGCTAGATGTCTTGATGGAATTCTAAGAAACGTCCACACTCTCCCTCCCTCTTGCCTCCCATTTCCCGTATGTCAGTTTGACATCCACACACAGCATCGTGATCTTAGGCTCTAGTTTTCAAAGGCCAAGCCTAGTCAATGCTTCAAACAAACACATACAAAAGACTCATTGTGCATAGGCCAGAAGCAGACCTGAGAGGCAACTCACCAAAGTCAGCCAATTTGAGCTCTCCCAGGTGACTGATGAGCAAGTTCTGAGGTTTCAGGTCCCTGTGAAGAACATGCTGATGGTGGATGTATGCCAGGCCTCGCAGAAGTTGAAACATGAAAAGCTGGAAGAAATGAACACCATACCTAAGGACACTTGAACCACTGTGTGTTGATTTCGTCTCTAAATCAAAAACATTCCTCTAAAAGAATAGAGTGAAAGTGTCTCTTGAGAGATGAAAGAAAGATTTTTAGAATCATTCAGAAAGAGGGGAAAAGGTCAAGGGAATCAAGTAGACTACATCCCAAACAAAGGGATTCTGGCTTTTCCTGACATCTTGTTCCTTTGATACTGAAGGAATTGCCCTTCTTTTAAAACCTAAGTGAAGCCTTGAGGTCTCCTTAGGAGCATTTGCAATTGGTTTAGATATGAAAGATATAATTTTGACCCACAGATGAATGTGGCATGTCAGGTCAAAGTTGACCTGGAAATAATAGTTTAGAGTTATACTTGCTGTGTTTTTCCAGGCTCTGATATGAACTCTTTTAAATCGATTGATATCAGTAGAGCCAACTGGGAAATATATTTCAGATGCTATTAAGAAATAAAGGGGAGTGGTAAGATGGCTCAGTAGGTAGAGGCACTTTCTGTGTTAGCCTGGAATCCGACATTCAATACCCTGAGGATGAACTCCATGAAGTTGAGGCATACACACACACACACACACACACACACACACACACACACACACACACACACACGATTTTTTGTTTATTTTTTAAGTCTGAGAAAAAGAAATAAAGGAATTATTGTCTTCATAACTTATTTTAAAACCCTAAATTCAAAGTGAAAACAAGGGAATTATCTAGTGTGTGTTAAAAGGGAAGACAGCAGGCTAGCTGAGGGAGAGACAGAGATTCTTAGTGGGTCAGCAGAATGCCTGAATGTAGACAGAATGTAGACATTGTGCACTAATTAGACACTTCTTGCTGCCCAGCCCCTCTTCTCTCTTCCTCCTCAGGATCGTAGGTGGAAAAGCCCAAGGGCATTTAAATATGGTATTTCACAGCATCTTAAAACTCTAACCTTACCAAACCTCACCACCCACTCACTCTTCCACCACCACCTCAAGCCAGGTTCTTCTTTCAACAGTTATAATAGAGCCAAATCTGAGGGTGCTTTGGAAATTAATGTCAAGCTAGATCTTGGGCTACTCCTTCCAGAGCAGCTTCCCATACCCCAGAGTGTGTGGGCAATGAAGTAATCCCATTAAGTTAGTGTTATTGGGCCAGACGTCTCTCAAAGCCAGAACTGGAATCTTAGCACTTGAGAGGTTGAGACAAGAAGATAACATGTTTGGAAGTTTGAGGGTAACCTGAGCTACGTAGTAAGACACTATCTTTAGAAAAAAGGACAAGGAACAGAGCAGAAAACAAAAGAAAAGGCATCAAGATAGATTACAGTGGCATCAACCAAGTCTGAGCAGGAAGGCCAAGATCCTCCTACTCCTGAAGTATCTATCCTTGAGGCTTGTTCTGTCAGGAATCAGAAACAAGGTGTTAGGGAGATGGCTAAGTCAGCAAAATGCTTACTGTGCAAGCATGAGGACCGGAGTCCAGAGCACCCAAACCCATGTGAAGGCTGGGGTGAGGCAGCACACACCTATAATGTCAGTGCTGGGCGGACAAAAACAGGAGGAAGCCTGGAGTTCACTGGCAAGCTAGTCTAGTCAAATCATGAGCTCCAGGTTCAGTGAGAAGCCCGATCTCAAAAAGCCTCACTGAGAGACCCTATCTCAGAAAGAAAAGAAAAGAAAAGAAAAGAAAAGAAAAGAATGGCCCCTATAGGCTCATATATTTGAATACTCAGTCATAGGGAGTGGCACAATTTGAACCGATTAAAAGGATTAGGAGGTGTGGCCTTGTTGGAAGAAGTGTGTTACCAGGGGTAGGCTTTGAGGTTTCAAAAGCCCATTCCAGGCACATCTCTCTGCTTGTGCATTAGGATATTCTCAGCTACTTCTCCAGCACTATGTCTGCCTGAATGCCACCATGCTCCCACTGTGATGATAGCGATCTAAACCTCTGAAACTGTAAGCCAGACCCTGTTAAATGCTTTCTTTTTTAAGTGTTGTCTTGGTTGTGGTGTCTCCTCACAGTGACTAAGATAGAGCGCAACTGAAGGAGACATTTGCCATCAACCTCTGTCCTCTACACATGCACACACATGTGCAAGTGCAAACACCATACACACACACACACACACACACACACACACACACACACACACACGCACACACGCGCTTCTTGTCCGTTACAACATTCTTGAACGGACACTAGCTTTCTCCGGCTTCCTTGTAACCTTCATTGCTAAAAGGAAGGATTCAGCTGTGATCATCGCTTCCATGACCCCACTTCAGAACTGTCCCTTCTCCAACTTGAATTGTGTGTGTCCCTTACATTTTTATACCCCCCTCATCTCCCTCTGTCCCTCTATTTGTTGCCATCCACTGGACTCTCGGCCTACATTCACTGAAGACATGGGTTTCTGGATAACCTGTTCCTCACCATGTGCGTGTCAGAGAATAATTCTAGCCAAGCTTCTCAGCTCTCAATATCTGATTCTCCAGTCATCTTCAGCCATTAGCTTCCATGGTCACCGGCTGGATCCTATGGAACTGTTTGTCCTCTGAAATGCAAGCTCATATCCCTTTAAAAAGGCATATGCATATTTTTCCATTCATGTTTTCTGTTGTAGTCACAATGCCTCTCGCTATGGAATCCAATGGACAGCCCTCATTCCTTACCATTGCAGCAGTTGGCAATGTTGACCATACCTTCCTTTCTGAAGCACTCTCTGACCTAATTGTTTCCATCCACCAATCTCGCTGGCTGTTTGTTTATAGATGCCGCTTCTAATGATGAATGGCCTCAGGGCTCTGTTCTTGGCCTTCTCTCAGCATCTTTGTCACTACTCTCCACTGGCCATTTTTATCACTACTCTCCATTGACCATCTTATCTCTATTATGGCCACAGTCAACAACTATATTAGGATCATTTAAAAATCTTTACCTCCAAATCAAATGTCTCTTTTTACAAATGTGTGTGTGTGTGTGTGTGTGTGTGTGTGGTATGTGAAAAGCATGTGTGTACATGTGAGTACTTGGGTGTGCTCACCTGTGTGTGAATGTGCATGTGGAGGCCAGAGGATATTGACACCAGGTGTCTTTCTCTCTAGTTTATTATTTTTCTTTATTATGATTATACATGTATGCATGGTGTGTTTGTGTGTGTGTGTGTTTGTGTGTGTGTGTGTGTGTGTAGGCAGAGTTTCTCTGTGTCCCAGCAGTCACTTCACAATAACCACACTAAGCCTTATATTAATTATAAATGCTCAGTCAATAGCTCAGGCTTATTATTCTCTTACAACTAAACCCATTTCTATTTATCATGTACTGCCCCAAGGCTTGTGCCCTTTACCTCTGTTATATATGCATAACTCATTCTCTATCTGACTGGTGACTCTATCTGACTGGTGACTCCTCTGACTTTGCCATTCTTCATCTCATCATTCCCAGTTTGGCTTTTCTGCCTAACTTTATCCTGTTCTGCTATTGGTCAGGCAGTTTGTTTATTAAATGAAACACAGTGACAACTCTCCATAGCATATGAAAGGATTTTCTACACAGCATGTGTATCTGTGTGAGTGCATGTGCAAGCGTATGTGTGTGCACCTGTGTCTTTTAGGATGAAACCCTCAAGAGTCTGTTCTCTCCTCCACAGTGGGTGTCGGGATCAAACTCAGGTCCTCAGCTTGTGTGCCAAGTGTTTTTACCCACTGAGCCACCCCACCAGTCCCTCCACTTTGTCTTTTGAGACAAAGCCTCTCACTGAATCTGAACACCGTTGCTTTGGCTAGACTGGCTGGCCATCGAGCCCCAGGGACTCACTTGTCTCCAGTTCCCCAGCACTGGGGTTACAGATGCACACCACCATCCCTGGCTTTTAAGTGGCTGCTGGGGATCCGGACTGAGAGCCTCATGCCTCTTCGGCAAGTACTTTACCTACTAAATCATCTCCCCAGCCTCCAAATCTCCTTTTTGACTTTTAGACTCACATAGTCTAAACATCCCATAATGCTCTCACTCAGCAGGCTAAAATATAATTCACTATATCCATCCAAAATCCATTTTCTTCCTGTTCCTCCCTCACTGCCTTCCATCTTGTTATTCAAAGCCAGAAATATTCTTGCTGACTCCTCCTTCGCTCATCAATTTTGGCTAATTGATCACAGACCCAGCCTTTCCCAGCGTCAGCTCACATCTGTACACGGCTGTCCTAACCAGGCTCACTGTCAAGGCTGTAACCCAGCACTGAAGAGTCAGCAGAGGAAGAGGATTTCCAGTGTGGGGGTTGGAGGCAACGTAGAAGGTGAATGTCAAGTCAAGGGAATATAACATACACACAAAAGAGAAATTTCCGTCTCTGATTCACGTCCCACATAGTCATTTGAGTGAACTATTGAGAAAAAAATTTGAGTTGCTCCCTCCCTGCCTAATGCCATTAGATGACACCAATATACTTATGAAGATGTCACAGTGGAGTCCTTTATTTTGTATGCTAACAAAATAAGTAAATAAACAAACAAATAAATAAAAGCATCTGGTAAGTCCTTTATGGAGTAGCATGACACAGAAGAATCTTATGCTGTGACTTCTACTTAATCACACATTTAACTGCTTCTAATTCCATGAATTACAAATTCAAAATTTACTGATTAGATTCAGTTTGGGGGTGCCTTTCCTAGTACTTTCACAGCTGCTTCCACTTGGGGAGTCCATTCCTACCACTACCTTAGATTGGATAACATTTTGCCTTCATAGGAAACTACCCACCCATAAATTCTTCTACTTATTAATGGACTGCTAATACATTTACAATGTCTTTGCAGTCAAGAATATGCTTTTTAATGGTATTCATGGTGTTTGTTGAGGCAGGATACAAAGATAGGGACAATTATGGGGATATGAGCAGAGATAGGAACCCTCAATCTAGAGTTTAGTTGAAACCTCTTGTTGGCTGGAAGTCATGAGTTCCAGCACAATTAAGATTTGCTTACAGTCTTTTTCTCTATCCAACTGTATACCTGAAATTCTTTAGAAATGTCACCAGAAAGTTCATTTACAGTGCAAGGATATATCCCAACCATGCTGGAAACTTTAGTGGCTCCTGATTTGATCTCATAAAATTGTATTACTGTTCAAGATACCCCTAGAGCCATTTATCATCTCCATTATCATGAGAGAGAATGGAGATAGAGCTTTTAAAATCCTATATATGTGAGCAGTGGCGGTGCACGCCTTTAATTCCAGCACTCAGGAGGCAGAAGCAGGTGGATCTCTGAGTCTGAGGCCAGCCTGGTCTACAGAGCAAATTCCAGGGTTGCCAGGGCTACATACACACATTCACACGCCCATACATGCACACATACACACATCTTTCAATAAGCTCCAACACTGCTTCATGCTGGCTCAACCTGAAATTCTTTTCTGTGGCAAGACCAAGAACCTGGTTTCACCCAAGAGGCAGGCCCTAAAAGATGGGAGCTAGCCATGCTGCTAATGTCTCCAGCTGCACCACCTCTGACAGTTGTAATGCACTGGCCTATGTCCTTGAAATCGCTATGCACTCCTTCTCTTACCCCTGAGCACAAGAATCCTATCATGAGTCCTCCTGTCTGTGCCCATTCAATTATCTGCTCTCAATTTTTACTCCAAACCCCACGTGCCAGTGACCCTAAGACCTCTTTCAGCTCCTGGCCCCCCTCTTCAACCTCCTCACTCACCAACTCCTCATCTGCCTACTGCTCATTTCCCGGAGTGCAGTCCACCCCAAGTAGTTGCCTTGATTCTCCGCTTCCTCTCCAGGCCCTCTTCTCCCATTTTGGTCAGTTCAGCTATAATTCTGCTGGTTAATAAAGCTCAAAATCCATCGTGTTTGCCTCCCCCTCTCCTTTCCTCTTCATGCCCAGCTGGTCACCAAACCCTCCCTGAACTCTTATTGTGTGCCACACTCCTTTCCATTCCTGCATCTCTACCATACTCTAGGGCTTGGAGAGTCTTATCTGGATCCCTACACTATGGTCCTCCCAGCACCTCCACAACACTATGGATAATTCCAGAAACCCACCCAAGCTTAATCCTTGATGTACTGAACCAAATCCCAGCCATCCATCTCCTCGATGGGTTTGACAAGCACTGGGCTAATGCACATCAGAAGTTTCCAACTGGGATTTCTGACTCCGGCCTCTGCTTTCTTCTAAATGTTTTTCACACAATATATTTTGATCATATTAAATTTCCCCTGCCCCAACTCTGCCCCACAGTAAGAAACTTGCTGCCAAGCCTGGTGACCTGAGTCCAGTTCCCATGACCCATATGGTAAAAGGAGAAAACTGACTCCCACAAGTTGTTCTCTGACCTCCACACCTGTGCCATGGCAAGTATGTATTCCCACCACCACCACACACAAAATTAATAAACAAAATGTAATAAAAATAATTACACAAACAAGAAAGCACTTACTTCTTTGCATAGCTACAGGACCAGGTCTTACTTTTTACTAAAAATTTAAATTTAAAAAATTTTTATCTTATGAGTATGAATGTTTTGTCTGCATGCATGTCTGTGTACCACTTGCATGCAATGCCCACAGAGTCCAGAAGAGGATGGTAGACCCCGTAGAACTGGAGTTACAGATGGTTATGAGCCGCTATGTGGGTGCTAGGAACCAAACCCAGGTCCTCTGCAAGAGCAGTAAGTACTTTTAGACACTAAGACATATTTCCAGCCCCTTATTGAGCATGTTTTAAAAAAACAATATTACATTGTTTTTTTATTACAGTGTCTGAGGGCAGGAATTGTGTCTTTATACTTCTCAGCATTTCACAATCTGCTATGTGTGTTACTCGAGTTTTGAGGTTGGTTTTTCTCCAAGTGTTCTAGTTAATCATCCTCTCTGTATCTTTTGCAGTCCACACTCCCCTTAGCATCCTGCTTATTGGCACACAGTGACTGAGGCTAGACTCAGTCTAGAAGCCAGTACCGTCTCTTTAACTTCTTTTGTCAGTTTCTTCCACACCCTGTTCCACCCTCTTTCCACATGTCTGGTAGAACTCACATCCGAATCAACTGAAATGCCTGCTTTCTCTACTCTTCCATTGGAATTGTTAATACGACCGTTTTCAAGAAGGAAAGGTGGTGTAGCCAACCCAGAGGTGGCTCAGGGTTATGAGCACTGACTGCTCCTGCAGAGGATGGAAGTCGGGTTCCCAGATCCTGCATAGCAGCCTCCAACCATCTGTAATTCCAACACCAGGGGATCAAATTCCCTTTTTGGCTTCTGTAGGCAATTGTAATCACATACATACATACATACAATTTCAAAAATAATAAATCTGAGCTGGGTGGTGGTGGTGTATGCCTTTAATCCCAGCACTTGAGAGGCAGAGGCAGGCGATCTCTGTGAGACGAGCCTGATTTACAAGAGCTAGTTACTCTTCAGAGACACCCTGGCTCAAAAATAATAATAATAATAATAATAATAATAATAATAATAATAATAATAAATCTTTTAAAACAATTATAAAAACCCCACAAAACATAGTCATGCAGACAATTTAATGTTTTGCTCTCATGAGGGCCCTTGACAGTACTACATGTTCTTTTTTTTTTTCTTTTCCTCTGTCTACTTTTCTTTCTCCCTCCCTCCCTCCCTCCCTTTCTGACCTCCCCAACCCTCTTCCTTCCTTCCTTCCTCTCTCTCTCTCTCTCTCTCTCTCTCTCTCTCTCCCTCTCTCTCTCTCTCTGGCGAGGAGACAGGCTTTCTAGGTCTTGATATATAGCCCAGGTTGGCCTTTGAGTTCAAAGTGTGTGTGTACACAAGTGTGTGTGTACACTTCCACAAAGCTCATCTCTGTCTAGTTCTCTAGCCTGTCTCCACACCACTATCTAATTTTTATTACTCTTCTTTATTGCTCCTTGTCCCCAAATCTTCTTCTTAAAGGTTTGCTTCTATGATCAGGCTATCTCTGCTTACCAAGTATTCTCCCAGAATTCCTTGTCCACATAACCAGGCACTGAACACTGTACTTCTAACTACCTTGTAAAGTCCAACTGCACTTTAAACTCATTCTAAATAACAATCACAACATTCTCACCATCGAATCAACATACCTCAAGGCAGCACTAAGTACTCCATATGTATTTCTTTAATAAATGAACACACAAGTACTTATTAGTTATAACGAACAACCCCATCAAATGCAACTCACATAGAGTTATTTTTAAGAGTGGATCATTTTGCTGATGCTGATAAGACCCTGGGGAGTAAGAAGTTTGAAATACAAGTGATATTCCATATATGAAATACATCACATATAGAATTGCAGCCAGCTAAGGGTTTATGATTTCTACTCGAATGAAGGAGAAAATGGGATTTAATCTCCTGTTTCATAGAACCTGCTGGGGTGGGCATTGTGAACTTCATCAGAGGCCACAGCAGCCTGCCATGATAAAGGTCTATTTTATGCTGGCCTCATTTCACTTCCCTCCCTTTGATATACTTATATTTAATTGGTCAATACAAACAAACGCACTGTTGAGTTAGGCTGCCCAGCTCCACATCTTGGTTTCTTGAGGAACAGTTTCTTTTCCTAGAGTATTCATGATGTCTGTCTTCTTTTGGTTTGCTTAGCTGTTGTTGTGAGACAGGATCTCACACCGTAGCCTACGTAATCTAGAACTCACTATGTAGACCAGGCTGGTCTTGAACTCACAATAATCCTTTGCCTCTGTCTCCAGAGCATTGGGATGAGGTGTAAGCAATCACATCCAGTCTATTATTGCACCATGGACTTCTCTCTGTGATCACTGTCTGTTTCCAGAAGCTTCTCTGTGGACAGGCCAGAGGAGAGCCTGACTCTCAAAGCACTCACCCTGACATTGTGAGGATGAAGGCCTCCGGGATGCTGAGACATGTACTGGGCCAGATCTGTGTGCTAAGCAGAACAGCAGGGAAAGAGGGCAGAAGTCAGTGGTGCTCGGACAGGATCTTAAATCATACCATGCACCCGAGGAGGTACAGCAAAAATAAGCATGTGTTAGACTAAAATGTAAAAGGGAAACAGCCAGATTTTTCTGGGACCCCATCCTTAAGGTCAGATAAAGTGGTCGACAGAGCCTGTTTCTTGGCACAGAGACACTCATCTGAGTGACTGGTTCTGAACACAGCAAAAGAAGCTTTCACTTTCCAAGTGTCCTTGAAGGTAGGTCAAGAACACTTACCTCAGGATTTCTTTCTGTTCGTTTAAATGTTTTTTTTTCCCCTTTCAAAAGTACAAATTGAGTTATTCTTTAGTAAGCTTGTATATGCCCGTTAAATATCTTGTGTTTTATATCTATCTGCTTAGACAATGATACAAATCAGGCTCTATTGGCAATTAAAATAGCCTTTAAAAAGTGCAAAATTTTATGAGAAAGCAGACGCAAAATCTTAGTTTATTACTGGTGGCAAGGGGAACAAGGCAGACAAAATCCAGGTTTAGACGTGCGACTCATTTCCGGCCAGAGCAGCAAGGCCCTGCTCAGCACTTCAGCGCCCCCTCATACCCTCCACATTATAATGAAAGTTTTATCGTGCCATGAAATATTAACAGACTCATTATACAAGCACCAGGCTTTCCCCCCATGTGCTGGAGAAGTCTAGAGAACTCACCATGTATTCAAATACGAATGTCAGAGTCTCTTTGGTGTGCACAATGTCATGCAAGAGGACAATGTTGGCATGCTTCAGACCCTTCAGGAGGGAGGCTAGAAAGATTTAAACAAGATGTTACATCAACCCCCAATCAAGAAAGCCCTCCTTTTAACCTAAGCAATCTTTATTTTTTTAAACATTTCAAATCAAGCGGTCTTGGGTTTTTACTGCTGGGAATGAATCTCTTCTGGACGACTATCTGAAATGACAAAGGACTTTTATTGTTTTAAAAATGGTGAACCGCCACCTCTCCACAGCCACCATCTCTGACAGGCTTAATGGTTGCAAACGGTGCTTCCGTTCTATCTAATCAATTTCCTCCAAGCAATTTGTGAGTGTCTCCGCCGGGACTCTCACCATTCCAGATGCAGAGCTATGGGAGCCTGGTCTCAGAGACACAAAGGCCATCGGAGATGCAGGAAACTGGCTGTCCCACCTCTTAGAGCAGGAGTTTCCAATAAGTGGCCAGGAGTTAACAGGCCAAGTCCAGCCAGAAGCCAAGGAGGCTGATAGATGTGGTTGGGGGGAGGGAAGGACAGGAGTGTGGGGTAAAGAGTGGTGGTAACCTATATGGCACAGAAGGGTTGCTGCTTCTTCTTCTTCTTCTTTTTCTTTCCTTTTATTTATTCTTTGTGTCCTTCACATCATGCATCTTGATCCCATTCATTTCCTGTCCCTTCATCTCCACCCTCTGCCCTTGCAACAGACCCAAATAAAATAAAGCCTAAGAGTAAAAAAGAAAAACGGAAAAATCAGTGTCATCATGGAAGCTGCAGGGTGACAACAGTGAGTCATGCAGTAAACCCTTTTGTTCACATATCTTTACTTGCAAGTGTTCATTGCGACACTTGCAATGGTCTGGTTCGAGGCCTCAGGTTACAGAAGAGCCTCTTGAGGGAATATTGCAGACCCCCTCTGTGGAAATGCAAACTTAAAAGAGAGCACTGAGCTTAAGCAGTGCTGGCAGCTGTCTCCTGCCAGTCAGTAACAGGTTATTGTTATGTTTCTAAAAGCAGATATTTACTTATTGTTTACTTATTTTAATGAATTAAAATTCTAGGGTCTTGCTTCAGGCATTTTACCAGTGGCCTGCCCTCATTGTTACCTCATGAAGGCACCCAATTAGAGAGGAGAGATTGACACAAAAGACCAGGAAAGGCTGTTTTTTGGGAGTTCCAGAGAGTTGGAAGGCCCACAACTTCAGAAGGAGGAAAACAGGGACAGGCATAGAGATGATAAGTCCAAGCATGAAGAAAATAGAATTCTTAAGACTAAAGTGATGCCTAGTACAAAGGATCATGACTGTAATGCCAGCATTCAGGAGACTGAGGCTGGAGGATAACTGCAAATTCAAGGACAGCCTTGGCTACAGAGTGAGACCCTGCATCAAAAACAAACAAACAAAAGACATAAGAGAATGGAACAAAATAAAACACAAACCATATATGTACATATATATACATATATGCACACTTATATTTAGGACATAAAAGTGGTGGCTGAAATATAAGGGGGGAAGAAACCTTTAGAGGGAGAGAAAAGGAGAACAGGAAAGGGCATTGGAGCAGAAAGACAAAATATCACATATTTTCTCTCACACATAGAATCAAGATTTAAATACATAGAGGGCTGAGGAGATGGCTCAGTGGGTAAAGTTCCTGCCTTGAAAGTAGGAGGACTGAAACTCAGCTGCCAGCACCCCACATAAAAGCAGGAGGTGGGCAAGGGGGATCTCTGGGCAAACTGCTGAGCCAATAACCATGGGGTCAGTGAGAGACGC